TAATAAATACATTATAATATGACATCCTTTATCATTTTTTATTAATGTATAATTTTTATAATATTTTTATATGTAATATTTACCTATTATAATTTTAGTTTTTTTTTATCAGGATTACTAAATTTATTCAATAATAAAGTATGTAATATGTAAAATGTGTTAAAGTATTAAAATCGAAGCAAAATATGTAGTAAAATAAAATTTATAAATACGTAATTATTTTTTTTTTCCACTTCGCCTATAAGATTCATTCGGTTATAAGACTCACTTTGTGCTGTTCCCAAAGTGAGTCTTATAAGCGTCGTCTACTGTATTATATATTATGATGAAAATAATTTTAGAGAAGGGGCCTATATAGGCAATTTTATATACGGATCTGATAAACTCTTTCCTGTGAAGATCCATTTGTGCATTGAACTATATCAGTGACGTCCCCAGGATTTTCAAAGGGGGGGGGGGCTTGAAAATTAGTTACATTTTTATTTTGTCCAGTCTAATAATTTCTAATAATTTGAGGTATTTTAAAATTTTTGTAACTTTTCAACTTTCTGGTAGAAAAAATGCTCTGATCATAAGCTTCGATGCCCAGTGTATGTTTTTGGAAGCAAATTGGATCTAGTAGGTAGGTACTTTTAGTGGGTCGAAATTGAAAATTCTCAGTGCTTTTAAAAATAATTGGAGAAAAAAAAATGAAAATTTATTTAAATGTTTGGTTATACCGTCTTCACTTGGATTGTATTTGAATAATTAATTTTTTTTTTCTATATAAATGTTAATAAAAAATTATATTTAATTATTATAACATAATTATATTTATCCGGTCAAAAACCTTAAAAATGTAATATGTAAGTTATTTTATTATAGCTAGAACATTAACGATACATAGGCATAGTGTTTGAAAATTTCATGAAATTTAAAAAAAATGAAATATTTCAGTATTTCGATATATTTTGTTTTATTTTTAAATAAGTTTTATATTTACATATAATTGTCATAAATTACCTTCATAACTATATAGTACCTGTATATATACCTAACCTTTGGTATTATACATTTAAAATGGTATTCAAAATTTTTAAATATTTTAATGTTTAAATGATAGTGATACAAGTAGGTATACAATATTATACATGTTTATTGTATAAATACTGAATTCTGTCATTAGAATTTAGAACACTGAACATTGTGTTAAAAAAATAAATAAACAGTGTTTTTATTTGTGTAAAATAATTTTAAAGTGTCAGGTTTTTGTGGAATATTTCATACTTCAAACACTACATAGGCACCATGGTTATTTCTTATAAGCATTTAAAGTTCAAATTTTGTCAAAATGACAGTTAATTTGTAGTTCAAAACTTATAAAATATAAAATATATTATATAGCTAAGGCTAGACAATTTAATACAAGGTCTTTCATACAAGTAGTTCATACTTTTACCTAAAAATTACAGATAATTTATGAAAATTGGTATGCAAATACAATGTTCTTTCAAAAATGAATTCATTCTGGTAAGACATATACGAAATTTACTTCTTGCTTACTATAGTGGACAGTTTAACTTGATTAATATTTTTTTGAAAAAGTAACAATAATACGGGCAATGGGGGGGGGGCTTCAGCCCTTTAGCTCCCCCCCCCTGCGGACGCCACTGAACTATATGATCATATAGTTCAATGCATTTGTGTCTCAATTTGTCTTATCAATTTTATAACAAATACAGTGCAGTAAATACGATTTAAATTATTTCCTCGGTCACCGTTTACAATATTTATAATTTATTCGAGGTACCTACTGCGTTTTAAAGGGCTACTTAAACGCATTATTTTGATGGGTATCTGAAAAAAATAACAAAAGGTACAACAGCATCATCAAAATAACTTATTCGATTAAATTTGTCAAATGATTATAGAACCACAGAATAGGTGATAGAAGTTTAAAACCCTTGCTGGAGCGATAGCACCATGTAACAATTAAAAGCAGTCTCTCGCATGCACATTCCGGACTGCGATCCCTTATTTATTAGAATAGGAATAGCCTATCCATTCTTATATTATCCATGTCGAACTGAATATCATCTGCGTTTGGGCAGTTCATTGTATCCAGTTCGCCTCATAATGCCCTACGTATATGATTTTGATCATGACAACCAATGAAAAGCGGCGAACTAGATACAGCCTTATATAAAGATCGGCAAGGGGTATCTACCGGTCTCCGGTATGTGTATCATAAAGTTGCCATCATAACACATAACATGTTTTTTTATCATGATAATATTATCTACGATCACACGTCATAACAAAATAGATAATACAATAGAAGTCTCTGTACTATACCTACTTACACAATGTATATATATTCTTCTCTACATCGTACTTATACTTAAAAAATAGGTATATAAAATCTTGATCTGTAGTATAAGGTCCATGGTAATATTAGTGTCCTTATGTGTTCCATGTTCATGGTGCATTCAGGAATGGTTATAGTAATTATAAAATCAAAGTATGTTACTTTGGGGTGTGGGGGCGTAGCCCCCGCGGGTTTGTGTTCTCTACATAATTTTAGCGAATTGCGGACACAAAAATCCCCGGGAAAAAAAATCCCCAGTAGCATTATACCGGGGATAATATAGATAATTTAATATATAATAAATTATATATTAAAAATAAAATAAATATTGTATATTAGGTACCGTACTATTAGGTATGTTAAAAATTGTTATTTTATAAAAACTGTCTTATACCTTAAAAATACAATAAAAAATGTATAAAAAAATATTAACAATAATTAAATATAAATAGTTTATAGGAATTATTTTATAAATATGTCATAATATGCTAATATAATATAATATTTTATAAATTATATAATATAAGTAAAATTAATATTGTATATTATTTTAAAAGTTGTCATTTTATAAAAAATTGTCTTTTACCCAATAGGTAATATAAATAAATATTGTATATTAGGTACCGTAAAAAGTAATGTAATTATAATATTACCTAGTCATTACAGCGCTTTCTGATGTTATGAGCAATCGCTTTTAGGAAGTCTTCAACATTTATTTCATCATTTTGGATTCATGTACATAGTTCTTTCAATCTTTTTTCGGTAGTTTGTGTCAACCCTAATTTTTTTCTTTTATTGAATGGCTCACCTACATCATTTAAAGCCAACTTTGCTAGATCTGCAGCTAGGTACTTCATTTTTAATTTTTCTAATTAACTTCCATATTGTTGGATGTTTTTGACCGACTAAATGTGCAAAGCGATTGTTCCATCCTTCAGTAGGATTGTTTGTCCTGTGGCTACCATGAAGGGTTGTATCATGAACATTCCAAGTATTAGGTGGAAACATAGGTTGTAGTCTTCGAAGACGCACATTAACATTAACTCCAGCTGCATTCCCAATTCGGTTGTAAGCACCATTTACATAATAAGCCTCAAAATAAATTAATAAATCATCTGCTTCATTTGGTATGTTTTGCTTTAAACACTCCATCCCCTCTTTTACGTTATTTAATGGTAAGAAAGCTAAACTGTCAATCATTGCACAAAACAATCGAAAACCTTCATCTTCTTGATATCTGTTTGACAAACCTAGTTCTTGAACTTTTCTGTAAGTTGATTGACAGAGGTGGTAAATACATTTTATATGCGTATAATATAATACATTTATATATTTAGTAATATTTAATTTATTATAAAATAACAATTTTTAACATAATATACAATATTTATTTTATTTTTCATATAATAAAATTTATAAAATAATTTAATACTACCGGTATAATGCTACTGGGGATTTTTTTCCTAGTGCGGGGATTTTTTTTGCGGGGATTTTTTTGCGGGGATTTTTTTTCCAACTACCAATTTTAGCACCCCCAGTGTTTGGCCTCTAGTTGCGCCTATGTGGCGGACTCCAAGGCTTATAAATTATAAACCTTGGGCGGAATCACGATTAAAGATAGTGTGGTTGCCCAACGAATCTAGAAAAGTGTCTACCGAAATGAATCTCCATTATCAGTATTAAAGAGCTGGTGACTTACTCAATAGCTCTTATTTGTTGTATTGACTATTGACTATAAATGCAAATACCTTTCAAAAGTAAATTGTAGTTCCGTGATAGCCACTATGACATGTAAGCGCTAGTGATTAAGTCTCCAGCTGTTTAATTTAACTTTAATACTGATTATAGAGATTCATTTCGGTCACAGATATGTATAATCATATTGTTAACAATATTGTTCTGTGGTATAATCACGATTAAAGATATACCTTATATATACCTTATACCTTATATATCTTTAATCGTGGTCGATGGGCAACCATACTATCTATAGCCGTGGGTGGAGTGGTGGACTCGAAATAATATTGATAAGACCTTTCCGTATTCCGTTCCGTATCCAGCAAGATCAATAAGAAGTTCTTTACAATCGTTGTTTCCAGCTGTTGAGCATTCCAGCACATCAGTTACACAACTACCACCACGGCAGCACAAATAATTACCTAGTGAAATTTGAATATATATACCTAATTTTGATTATACTCTAGTCCATACTCCATTAAAATTTATAGCACGAATAAGGATATTTTACCTATCTACGACTATCTATTATTGTTCTGTACAATAACTGAGTATAACCGTGGATTTTAGCCTTTAGGTAATAGGTATGTTTTTACTTTTTATTGTAAGATCTTGAATCGTTTTACTTACTAAATTGATTATCACAATATGTGTTTTATTTGATACATTTTGTGGACAATTTCATAACTTCATTACTAAACTGTTTTTAGTTATAGTGTCTTTACCAACTATTAACATTTCATTATATCGTTTGATTTTTATTCTTATTTCAATATAGTAATCATTTCATTTAACTAAATTATGTTTAAAATTTAAATATTATTTTATAATGTTATTTATTGTTTATTAATATTGAATAAACATTGTTGGTTTAGAATTTTAAAGAATTACGACAAATTGTGATTTTTGTTGGAAAATGACAACTAAAGTATTTATTGAAGAACATTTAGATAAATATCTGAAAAGTTTAGCTAAAGGACAGTTGTTCATCCCAGGAGTAATTATTGGACAAGTGAGTTACTAATTACTTAAGAAGTTTTATTAATTCTATGTTCATTTACTTGCCAAGTAATTTATTCACAATATACATTTTTTAATTAGGTCATAGGTAACAACTATCATGTAGTCCACTTATCAGCAATGACCATATGGAATGAAGACATACAAAATAATAAAATTGATGTTTTGTCCTACAAAACTCTTTCTGATCTTTTAGCCAATAGTGATACAATATTCCAAAAGTCTTTAGAAGTAGGTAATCTAATTAGGCTTCTAAATATTATTGAAAGAGATTCAAATGTAGTATATACTATTAAGTAAATAAATATTTTATGTATTTACATATTATAATGTAGGTAGCGACATTATTACCAGGAGGTTCACATGTACTTGGTTTATTTTTTATTGTTCCACAAGATTTGAAAAGTATTCAACCAATAGATATTGATTTTTATGAATTCGATAATGAATTAAATGAAAATTTGTTATACAAAAAAACCAATGAAACATGGAATTACTTAATGTTAAACTATTCAACTGTCAACAAAAAGTAAATATTGTAAACCTGATGGTTATTTAAATATATACTTTTATATTATAATATGTATGTTCATTTATAGATCATATTGTTACTCAGTTGATTTCAACCGTGTAAATGGTCCTGAAAAAACAACTTATAAGGCAGTAGATGCAGTTTTTGGATCATTTAATAATGATTGGGTAACTCTTATTGGAACATTCAATTTTGGAGCATTAGAAAGACTAAATGTAGGTGGTGGACCAAAAGCTTTATTTTCTATTCGTGATGTATGTATATATTTTGCTTACATATTTTAATAATGAAACAGTATTACATTATTATACAAATATTTTTTTAGAGTTTATTAGATAAATTTGAATCTGTATTAAATAAATCAGTCTATACTTTTAATGGATGTGTATGCGATGAAAATAAAACCCTTAAAGATTTTGAATGTGATGAAATTGATAATTTATTGAAAAATGTTGTTAGGATTGAATTTTACAGAGAGGTTAGTTTAATACTTTATATTCCCATATTTCAAACATGCTTAGTTTATTTAAAATGTAAAACAAGTCTGTATAATGTTTTAGGTTGATTTGGGTAATGAATGTAAAAATGCTTCACTCAAGGTTAAAAGAGGAAAGGGGAAGATTTTGATGTCTGGTCTATGCAGTGTAGCAGTACCATTTAATCGTAATGGTACAATTAAGGATGCCATAAAGGTAAGATTATTATTTATTTTTAATAACTTAACCAACATTTGATCATTAATGTAATATTTTTTTAGTTTTTTATTATTTTAACAATACCGTTGAACAAGGGGGTGGGGGTGGGGGAGCTGGTTAGAGCAGCGGTTCCCAAACTTTTTTCATTCAAGGCTCCCTAATAATTAAACATTTTTTTCACGCCTCCCTCAAAGAATATTCAATAAAATAGGTTAAAAATTGTTCAATATATAATATTTATTAGTTTTAAATTTAAATTTTGATGACAAAAAAAAACAGTAAACTTTTATATTTTATTCTATACAAAATAATTAATGCGAACAATGTGCTTGTTTTTCGTTTATTAATTTTTCAAAATTAGGAATTAATGTAGTTACTGCAACACGCATTTCTTTTTCCACATTGAGTTTGGACCGATATTTTGATTTTAATATGGCTACAGCTGAAAATCCTGCTTCACATAAATACGAAGTGGCAAATAGTATTAATATACGTAAAGCTTTGCTGCTAACTTCAGGATATTCATCTTTAATACTGTTCCAAAATCGTATGGATAAGATAAGATAATCGTCTCCTCAAAATTTTTATCGGACATAAAATTGATCTAAAAATAACAATATGTATAAAATTCCAACCGCTCCGCGCCGCCCTTGTTAAGTGCTCGGGCCTCCTTTGAGTGGCGCGCCACACAGTTTGGGAACCGCTGGGTTAGAGTATAAATATGTTATATTATGTAATAAAATATGAAATAACAAATTAACAAAAAAAAATTTCGGGGGAGTCTGAACCCTAACCCCCCCCCCTGGTTACGGCCTTGCTGGAGAATTATCTATATCTAGTATCTCAATATAGTGTGTATTCAATATACAATCTTGTACAAAAATTTAAATCAGAATATTGAAAAAGCTCTACAGTTAACTTATTAAGTTTACCGGCCATAAAACCACAGTATCTATTATATAATTGGACAGTTGGATTAAACAGTTAAATTGTCTAATTTAACCATTGTCACAAATAGAAGGGACTTTAGCTGGAAATACACTACCTGTTTCACACCAAATTATAACTGCGGTGCTACAAATCATCCAGTTGTCTGGTTTGATTGAAATACATCATTTTGAATTAGACCAACCACACAATCCTAAAAGAACCGCTGTGTATGTCATAAATCGCAGCATATTGAGGTCAAACCGGATGGTTTATTAATGCTGCGGTTGTTCGCACTTAGCCGAGTCCCCCTATTCAAAATGTAGTACTTTGTATTAAACATAATATATTGTTTTTAGAAAATGTTATGGGGCACTCCCAACTTCAGTCTCGTCATAGTTAAATTATTAATTTATTATTTAAAAAAATATTATATTATTAATTTGTCTTTTTAATTTATTTTGTATGTTAGTAATAATTAATAATTATAGTTAACAAGTAAAAAAAATAATTAATACTTTTTTATAAGTAATTATCAATATTTCATAATTTTTAACTTGTATTTTGTAGGCTATTCATGAAGATGCCATGCAGACATTTGCAACTCGTTTAAAAATGCATTTGGAATCAATGGTTGAAGAGGAATCTCTTGAAGAAGAAGGTTCTAATAGATATATATTTTAAAACACTAAAAAATATTATATCGTATTAGTACAATATTTTTCATTTATTTCAGATGGAGATGCAAATATTGTACATGAAACTCCCCGTCGAATATTAATTATAAAGACTGAAGGTTCTAGATTTGCATTCAGTGATTATGTATTTCCTGGCGAAACTTCCCAAGAAGCCTTATATGTGGCTGGAGAAATATTGAATCTTCCTGAAGACAAAATAGAATTATACGATGTGTTGGAAAAAGGTTAGTGTTTCATGAAATATTATAATTTCTGTTAATAACATTGGTTTTTTGATTCTCTGATTAAAGAAAATCTACATCTGTGCTTTTCTTGGCACATTAGTAAATTTGTTATATTTTAATATTAACTTTTTAAAATTCAAAACAACCATTTTTAACATTATATTTACGTATTTAAAGGACGACATTCATATTATGAGACACTGCCAGACATTGATAGTAGTCCACCACAAGATGCAAGTACTTCAACGTCAAATAATGGGCTAATTTATTTCACGTGGGCCGCTTTGATATTAGCTATCTTAGCATATGTTATCAAACAAATTTTTGTGTGAGATATATTAATGGGAAGCTAATTTAATTGTACAAAATAACATTCCTTAATTTATTATTTTATTTTTTTTAATGTTTATTATAAAAATTGTTGAAATTAATATTAAAACTAAAGTAATTGTTTTAACAAATGTATTTTTAAAATGTTAAGTTTGACCGATTATAAAATTAATATAAAGTGTTGCTAACGTTTTCGCCAAAGTCAAAATTATGGTGGGGATGTGCGGAAAAAGTTATGTTTTTCGTCGGCCGAGTGGTTTAATCTTATTCTAAATTAAGTATAGTAAATCATTCACACTAATTATAATGGAAATAATACGAAATACTAAATAGTACACTTTCTAATTAGTATTTAAATAAAAATTTTTTGAACGTTTCAGTGGATAAATTTAGCTTCTTTTTGCATTTTTAAAGGTAGTACCTACTGTAGGATTGACTAACAAAGCTTTGATTAATAAAATTAACCTGGCCTGAATTTTTTTCCCACCCCGCAAATGACAACAGACATTAGATAATGGTACGGAACCCTTCGTGCGCGAGACCGACTCGCACTTGGCCGGCTTTTTTTGTTTTTTATTATACAGAAGATTATAATATAGATTGTACATTTGCTAATAAATTAAAAGTTTCTATACAATTTGGATTATTTTGTATAGATATGAGATTGAAAGTGCCTTAATTGTTGTCCCTTAATAAACAGCTAAGCCTTAATATTTTTGTTAGATCCCAATTACAATTAGGTGATATTATTATTATAATCTGATAGTTCAAATTTCAGACTTCTGTTTTTATTTTAAATATTTAAAATTCTTAATCGATTGTTGACTAATATGATTTTGGTTTTTGTGTAACTCTAAAACAAATAACCGTAGATACATGACATTTTCACTGGCTTTAGCCCCCCCTTAGAGTTTCTATAGCCCCCCCCCCAAAAACTAATGATTTCACTACTATAATTTTAAAGCATCATAAGCGTTTCAAGTATAGACCTGAGCTTCAGCCCCCCAAATTTCAAACACTATTTACTCCAGTGCTGCGAGCGTGCATTAAGTGTTATTACTGGGGTACGAATTTAAAAGAAGTATAAATAATAATAAAAAAAGCACTTAAAATGTAAAAAAGTAATTTTATATATATAAAAAAGGTGGTTAAGTGGATGTCGATTTGCTGTTCAGTAGGTTAAAAGTGGGTCACTGTATAATGGATGGTATTAAATTTGAATTCAATGATATAATATCATTGTATACGAAAAACGATTCTGAGTGTGGATATTACATAATATACTAGCTGATTCTGTGCACTTCGTTGCCCTTAAAAAATTACAACCCTTTAAAAAATTGTGATTGTTGAAATCTTTTTTTGATGTAAGATGTAACTCGTAGCAGTAAGTGCAATTCAGTCACCCTGGTAGGCAATCCTACTAAATCGGATCATCGGACATTGTGCGACAGCATATCAAGTAGATATATATCTAATATATAAAAATGTCGTGCCACAGTGTTTGTTATTGAACTCCTCCGAAACTTCTTGACCGAAACTAAATAATGTTTCAATTATTAATAGGTGTATAAATCTCTAATGAAATGGATCAAGTATGATAGAGAAAATCGGAATAAACATTTACCAGACTTAATAGAATATTTTCGGTTACCAATTGTTTCCCATGAAGTTTTTGAGTGTATTGTTGATAAAGAAACGTATATAATCCAGCCAAGTTAGGTTTGGGAGGCTGGGAAAATGGCCAAAACGGTCGAACGTTATTTCGGGGGTTAAGAGTAGCTCGAAAAATTTCCATTTTGGTCATACAAATTCACACTAATCGCTCACTAATTTTTGGTAAAAAAAAATCCAGAAAAGTCGATTAATTACACTTAGAGGGGGCCAGCGAAAATTTCACCAGCCACCCTCCAAAGTTTTTTTGAAATTGTCCTAAATTCTGAAATATTCAGAAATAATTCTGAAATATTCACTCAAATTCCACACAATTATAATGGTGAAGAAAAAACAACGATTTTGTAACTTGGGAGGGCTGGAGAAATGTACGTGATAAAGAACCACTTTTGAAGTTAAATAACAATTGTAACTATATAATATTTTTATATTAGATTTTCTTAGTTTTTCAAAATATATTATGTTGGTAGGTAGAAAATATTTAGATGAAGCTTATGCTATTTATACAGTCCTTAGAACTGAGTAAAAAAAAGGGTTAGGTTAAGTTAGTTATAAATATAATTCAATAATACTTTCACATAACTTTGGTTTATCAATCATTACCCATTTAAATAAGTACCTAATCATAATCCGTAACGTGAATGATGATAGTCGATAGATGCCGATATGATAATGGTATATTTAGGGTAAAACTAAAGAACCGATTTTCCAACCTAATATTATGTGTAGAAATTTATATTATATTGATTCAGACTTCAGAGGGCAAATGTCTCAGTCCAAGGCGGAAAGGAAACGCGGAAACGGTAGTCGTTTGGGCGAAGGTAATAATTTTTACCGAAAAATAAATAGTCCGTTTGTACCGTTTCACAGTGGTCTGAAACGTTATTTTAGGCGCTCAAAAGTTCAATTTCAAAATATGGTAAGAAAAAAAAATGTCAAAACTACATAATCATATTATGTTCCGTAGCTCAAATATACAATTTCGCAATCATACATTTATTTTTAAATTGTTAACTATTTGAACATGGAAATTGTACGTCTTGGACGTTGCTTTTCATTATTTTTAATGAAACTTAATATTTATCAGGGAAATATATTTTTTTTTTATATTTTAAATTTTATGTTATTTCCTTTAGGTGTATTAGACGGATAAAAAAATATTTATTCAAATTTTTTTTTATTGACAATACGAAGTTATTTGAAAATATTTTAAATTTTGGGATATTTTTTTGTATTTTAACGTGCCAATGAAAATTACTCAATTTTACCCAAAATCTGATGTGCCTATACATAAAATAAAGAAAGTTCTCGGGATTTTGGAAAAGTAATTTTTTTTTGCGTCCAAGGGGAATTATTGCGTACAGAAATTATTTTCGTAAGGTTTATCGCAATATTTGCTACAAAACATACATTTTGTACCTAGGTAATTTATTAACTTTGATATTTAATTTTTAATTTTCTTTTTATTATTATTTCATTGTAGTTGCATTAATAATATTAGGTAGATAACAATATATTTATCATAATTTTTTTTTTAATCATAGAAAGTTATATTTTTGTTCATGTTTTATTGCAACAAACTTCACAGAAATAATTTCCCCATGGACGCAAAAAAAATTACTTTTTCAAAATCCTGGGAACTTTCTTTATTTTATGTATACATCAGATTTTGTGTAAAATTGAGTAATTTTCATTGGCACGCTAAAGAGGCAAGCAGGAGATGCATTTACTGAGTTGATATCATTGATATCAATTATACCAGCCGAAAATGAATGGTTTCATTTTTTCGATTATGTCTTCGACACATACATAGACGAAAACTCAGAGTTACCCCCTCATTTGTAGGCGTCATCTCCAGTATTTGACCATCCAAGAACCACAAATGGACCAGACAGTGGCGGTGAAATGATTTTGTCATGGGTGATTTTTTAATATGCATTATTTTATCGATGTATATTTTAATAAAACATTTATACTAACTAATTTAACTTCAATAAAAAAAATATTTTCGCTAAGTCCACAACTTGATTTTCAGTAACGATATTAGTGATCTTATTTATTTTTTCATCCACCGAGGGTTTATAAGTAGAGCAACTTGCATCAAAGTAGCTAGAAATTTTCTTTTTATTAGACATAGTAGTGGTAAAAATGTAAAATAGACAATATTTCAAAAGACACCAACCATATCTATAATAGTAATATACTTGAGTATGTACACTACACGGACACACAGTAGAAAATACGAGTACGAAAGACGAAACACGATGATAACTAAATATTATGACTAGGGCTCGGAAGTTGTTGCATTTGCATGATTTTTTTGAACCATTAGATTTATTGCTAAGTAAGCTAGAAATTCATTTCAAGACACTACGAAAAACATATCAAAAGTTTATAGTGCATATTTTTGCATATTTAGTGATTTTTAGATTTTAGAGCATATTTCTTAATTTTACAATTTTTTAAAGCATATTTTATAATTTATGGATATTCAATATGAAAATTTGTAAATAAAAAAATAAATACATTCATATTCAGAGACCTTACTAGATATTCTTGAATCGTATTATTCAAATTTCCATTTGACATTAAAAACTATGTTTTTCCTCTATTGGTTAATATGATATAATATTAATATATATAAATATATATGTAAATTACAACTACAGCTAGCTTTATCTAAAATAGAATATTATACAAATCTAAAATAGAAACAGCTGCTATCGAAATACGACGATTTTCTATAAATACTTTTATAGGAAAATAACTCAATGATTATTGACTATTGTTAATGGCATTTATAGATTTTAGGTATTTCAGGTATATAAATATAACTCGACAGAAGTGCATTTTTTTATTCAAGGAACATTTTTAATTTTTAAAGCGATTTTTTTATTAATTTTTTGTTTAAATTATGATTAAAAAATATAAATAATAAAAACTTATATTACTTTGCTTTTTTTTTATTTACAAATTTAAAAAAAATATTTGTACAAATGAAAATGTTGTGTAAAATAATTAAATATAAGTGCATATTTTTAGAGCATATTTGTACTTTTTTAAGCGCATAAGTGCATGCATATTTAGTACTTTTTAAGTGCATTAAGTTCCGAGCCCTAATTATGACTTATGAGTTATGACAAATAATAAACAATCGATGTTTCAAACAAGGACGGACCCATGGAGGGCCTAGGGGCCACCCCCCCCCCCCCTCAGACATATTTTTTTATAATCCTACAAATCCTGATATTACTATATTTCAAATCACATATATTGACAGATTTGGAAAAAGCGACAATGTAAAAAGACGTTTAGATTATATATACTATAA